TAATGACATCTCCTTCAACTTGCATGATTTGAAATATTCTAACATTGCCAAATTAACAGGAGTTTGGACAAGATCAAGTTCATATATCGAATAATGTTTTTTGACATCCACTTGTTTTTTTTTTTTTTGTGTGTTTAGTACACTGTGTAAGATATTGTAACAGTATTTTATATTGTAGATAGATATATTTAAATTTTGGCAGCTTTGATGTGACACTTTTGTGAAATACTGCAATATAAAAGTTACATATAGCATTATAATCTTCTGAATTCATTAGTTTAATGAATTTTCTAATACATTTTTCTTTAGGCTAATAAAACAATATAATTATAACTATATACATGTATGCGTTGGCATTTGGCATTGCAACTTGATAGCTAAATTTGATTAATTACTTAGTTAATCAATATAATTGATGGAAGCTTTGAACTCGGATATTATCAATATTAATTAACTTTAAATCACCGTTTTGTTGCGATGTCGGTCTGCTTCTATTTTGTTACTTTAAATTGTTAAACGCATTTTGACGACGTCAAAGTTCGGTTCGGATTCTACTAATATGTTTGTTTGCTTTAGTTTTTTTAAAATATATAAATTATATATCTAGGGTTTATATACATTTTCTCTTTAACTGTTCGCATTTGAAAATTAAAATATATTATTTTCTCTATGAAATAGAATTCGAATTCGAATTCGCTTGAAAATAAACACGTCAATCATGTCCTTTGTAACGTGTCCTGTTTTATTAAACACATAAAATACACACTTCCCGACACCGACAAGTCAACGCTAGACAAAAGTCAAAGCGGTCTCTCTCCCTCTCTCTGGTCAAACCCTATCCAAACCATTTAAGCAGACAAAAATACTCTCTAAACCTCTTGTCCAATATAAAAACCGAGATACTAAAATACAATTGTTTCTTAAAAAAACCACCGATTGATAAGAAGCAATCCAAAATCATTATAGTATACAGTCGACATTAGAAGCAGTAATATTGTACAATTTAAATAAAACCCTTTTTATGGATACAGAAAATATTATACAAATTAAATATAAAACTCTGTTTTTAGGGATGAACTAAATGGGCTAAACTCAAAAAAGACATGTAGGGCTTAATCGAAATAAATGTGCGTAATTGCAAAGAAAGCCCATTTATTTCATGGGCTGAAATAAAGCCCTAAATATAGAAAACCTACCACTTGTAGGGCTTTTTTGAGTTGTAGTCCGTTTATAGGTAGTCGCAAAAAATAAAATTTTGAATTTGTATTTAATGCCATTTATACCCATGTTTGTATGAGGTATTTTCGATTTTGCCACTTAATAAAATCGATGGAATAAAATAGCGCACACTCTAGCTTCTGCAATTCGAAACCCTAACAAAACCCTAATTGAAGAATTGGGCTTATTGTCTTCGATTCCCGTTTCGTCTAGTTCCCGGAATTTGTGGGAAATGGAATTCGACGAGTACGAGTACCTGGAGATGATGGCGGGGGAGGAGCAACAGGAACGAGACGGTTCGAAGAGGAAGAAGGAAGAGAGCGGGAATGAGAAGATCGAGAGGACTTACAGGAAGAGAGATGGAGAGAGGGATGAGGAAGAGAGAGGGAGCAGTCGGAGCAAGAGATCTCGTGGAGACGGCGAAGAGAACGGCGGTAGTAAGAAGGACAGGGATAAGGAAAGACATAGGAGCAGCCGAGACCGAGACCGGGACAAAGACCGTGAACGCGACCGGGACAGAGACCGTGAACGTGACCGTGACCGAGAGAAAGAGAAGGAGAGAGATAAAGAAGGCTCGAAAGAGAAGGACAGGGATCGAGAGAGGAGTAGCAGGGAGCGGGACAGGAAGGACAGAAACGTGGACAGAGACGGAGATAAAGACAGAGAGAGAAGAGTGAGGGACAGGGAGAGGGAGCCAAAATCTGCAGACTTTGATGATGATGACGGAGGTGGACTGGTGAGTTAGGACCTTTTCGCGTACTTTTTCCTGCTTCTCCCTATAGAGTGTCACTATAATTGTTTTTCTATGCAGTCTTTAAATGCACAATCAAGGGCTCTGCTTATGCAGAAGCTGGATCGTTCTGGTATTGCAACAGGGTAAGGGGAAAGAGAACGGGAGAGAAGAAGCAGCAGTAGGTCTCGGAGGGAAGAGAGGGAACGCGAACCTGAACGAGAAAGCAGGTCAGTGATATCGGTTAATTCTCCGAAGTTAGCAAACTTATGGGTTCGTTGTATTTGCCATTGACATGCATAGTGTTACTTTGTTGCGTCCATTTCTGCTATAATGTCCTGCACTAATAAGTTTAATCGGTTAATTCACTGGCTGATACTGTTTTGTTGCCAAATTATCTTTGCACTTACTGCGGCAGGAGGAGTAAGGACAAGAAAGAGACAGTGGAGCCTGAAGCCGATCCAGAGAGAGATCAAAGAACAGTTTTTGCATACCAGGTGCATTCTTGAACTTATTTTCACTCACTCTTAATGCCTTTTTTTGGTTGCTAACGAGGGTGGAGAAAGAAACGCGCTGCAAAGTTTTTATGTTTTATGTTTATACCGAGTAACTCTGTTCTTCTGTATACAGATGCCTCTAAAAGCTACCGAGAGAGACGTTTACGAATTCTTCTCCAAAGTGGGCAAGGTCAGTCAGTCCCACTTTGGTCTTTCTGGCTTTGTTAACTGTTAAAACTAGTGAATTCTGGCGTTGTTAGTTTCATTGTAGTACGATCCCAGCTTCTGTTAAATGAAGGCGACGTGTATGTGTCCACAAATGTATGGTTGTTTCTCACTCTTGACTGTGTAAACTTCTTAGTTTAAGTTACTATGACATTCTCAAATGTATGGTGTTGCCATTGTTGGTGAGTCGGAGTCATTATAGCCAGTAGAAATGAGATCTGTTTGCTTTACAGGCTACTTGTTTGTATGCGTAATTTGCAATGAAAACCCCTAACATGCATTGTGAAGAGCTGATTTATTTTTATCAAAGTTGGTTATTTTTGCTGGCTGTTTTTTTTTTATGGTATGGTTTTTCTGTGATAATATCAGGTGAGGGATGTGCGATTGATCATGGACAGAAATTCAAGACGATCCAAAGGAGTTGGGTATGTTTACTTCTTTTTCTGTTAACCTACGTTTTGTGTTTATGCACTTGGAAAGTGATTATCAGCATAGGCAACTTCAAGAATTTATTTAACTGTATTCTTAGATGCACTAACAATGCGATAATGATGAGGATGATGGGAATACCATGCTCACTTGTTTAATCAATTCATGCTGCGTGCTCAAGGTAGATGACATAAAACCTGAATTCTATTTCAGCTGTCTCTTATAATTGTAATGCATAGATAGGAAGGAAGCTTTCTTTTAGCTTATTTATTATATTCGAGTTCTTTGCTAGATGCTTCCTCCAAGTCCTATGGTGCTTTCGGTCCTCCTTTCTATTTGTGGTGGAGGAGTTGGCTGCTTGTTACTCCTAACCGGAGAATAATAAGCCAATTTTCATTGTTTGTTTTGGGTTTTTATTATTGTTTTATCATATGATGGATTAACTTTTTTGTATTACTCTAGGCCTCCAATCCACCAAAAGAAATTCAGCTGGAATCCGCTGCACTAAAGTTTTTGTTTCCAACCTCTCTTTACTACATGCGTCACAAGTTTTCTGATATTATCTCTTGCTTTTTCTTGAGGTCAAGTTTATCTCTTCATTGAACTGCAGGTATATTGAATTTTATGATGTGATGTCAGTTCCGATGGCTATAGCTATGTCTGGGCAGCTGCTTCTTGGACAGCCTGTAATGGTTAAACCGTCTGAAGCTGAAAAGAATCTGGTTCAGTCTAATACCAGTGCTGGGGTTGCAGGTGGTACTGGGCCTGTTGATAGGAAATTGTATGTGGGGAACTTGCATTTCAACATGACTGAGCTGCAGCTTCGACAGGTAATAGATTTTGCTTTTTTATTATCTTAGCTATTTCTTTCTCGCTAGGTTTTGCTAGATATTCTTATGGTGCTTCCATAAACTTATGTAGTCATCTACGGGGCAAGGAAATCAGTGTGTTTGGATAAGTATCATACTCATGCTTACCCTTTTCTCGTTTCATCATCAGATCTTTGAGCCGTTTGGTCCCGTCGAGCTTATTCAACTACCTCTTGACCTTGAAACTGGGCAATGCAAAGGTTTTGGATTTATCCAGGTTAGTAAAACACCGTTTCTAGTCAAATGTGCGGTTAGCTTCTTGGTATTTTTCTTTTCATACATTCTTTTACCTTCCACAGTTTGCCCAGCTTGAACATGCAAAGGCTGCTCAAAATGCCTTAAATGGGAAACTGGAGATTGCTGGGAGGACAATCAAGGTGAGTTTTCCCCTCTAGAAATGTGATGAATTTCTTTCAAGGCTGAGTTTCCATTTGAGTCTAATGTAACTTTTTCGGGGAAATTTCTTTTAGGTTTCATCTGTTACAGATCATGTCGGTACACAAGATACTGCACCAAAATCTGCAGACTTTGATGATGATGACGGAGGTGGACTGGTGAGTTAGGACCTTTTCGCGTACTTTTTCCTGCTTCTCCCTATAGAGTGTCACTATAATTGTTTTTCTATGCAGTCTTTAAATGCACAATCAAGGGCTCTGCTTATGCAGAAGCTGGATCGTTCTGGTATTGCAACAGGGTAAGTCTCTTGTATTCATCTTCGTAGTCATCTAGTCAAATGCAATATTTTGGATGTCTCTATACTTGATACATTTGAATTTGTGAAGCATTGCTGGCTCTCTTGGAATACCAGCTCTTAATGGCGCGGCTCCCAATCAACCAGGCATTAACCTTCCCATAGGTGGGCATCCTACCTTCCCCACATCAATTCTTCCGACAGCAGCTATCCCTTCTCCAGCCATTGAACCTGTCGGTCAGCCAAGTGAATGCCTTCTGCTGAAGAATATGTTTGACCCTGCGACAGAGGTCTGATTCTTTTCGATTTGGTTTTCAGGGGTTTAGGAATTTAATTCCACGATGAAAAGGGTGTGTGAGAAATGTGTTGTTTTGTTGAGCTTTTAATCGTCGAGAGCCTTTGTTGCAGACGGAACCGGACTTTGATCTTGATATCAAAGAGGATGTTGAGGAAGAATGCTCAAAGTATGGCAGGGTGAAGCACATCTACGTTGACAAGTAAGTGTGCCCATATATTTCTAATCCATCGCCTCTCTTTTATGGATGCTATCGAATGGTGGAGTTAAAACACTTCTTTGGATATCTATAGACACTAAAGAATGTCTGATAGCTATTTATATATGTGCGAGCGTGCGTGTGTGTATTGTATAATCCCTAAAATTCAGAGAATGTGGATGCAGGAATAGTGCGGGTTTTGTATATCTGCGGTTTGAGACGGTGCAAGGAGCAGCAGGAGCTCAGCGTGCAATGCACACGAGATGGTTTGCTCGAAGGATGATCTCTGCTATCTTCATGGTAATTCACTTTTCCCATTCTTCAACTCAATCATCTTTAGTCCAACGATACTGTCCTCTTACATCATAGGATAATAAGACAATATGCAGAGACATGGAGGTGTTTCCCTTTGTGGTGTGTGTGTGTATATATATATCTTGAGCATTTATGCGGTGGTGCATAGCGTCATCCCTTAAGAGTGGAAGATGAAGTTAAAAGTAGTGTAGGCAAATAATGAATACTTGAAACTCCGTCACTGAGTTGTTATATGGTCTGTCTTTTGCAGTCACCTGACGAATACGAAGCCAAATTCAATGCGTGAAGGAAGGAAGCCACCACAGCCTGGTGATCTAATGCCGGTACATTTAAATTTTTGTTTTTTTTTTTCTGGTATTATGATTTGTAACCAAAACCATGAGCAAAGCCAAATCCTGCATGTAATGTCTGAAAACTCTTAGATCGTTAAAAGATCACACATATGATTTATGGGTTCTTTTCTTTTTCTTTTTTGTATCATTGATGGGTGCCATGTTAATGTAAGATTCCAGGACCTCTCCTCTCCTATCCCACGCCCCATTTCGATTCATTGTTTACACGTGGCAGCCAATGGTTACTTGCCACATACTCCATCCAAGACACGCCCCCAAAAAAAAAAGATGAAGAAAAAGGAGACCCATCCACGCCACCATTTGCATCAGCCATGCAAATATTATGTCATATCTGAATCTCCGCAACTTTATCGTTGATCCATGCTTTGTATGTATGTATGTATGTATGTATGTATGTATGTATGTATGTATGTATGTATGTATGTATGTATGTATGTATGTATGTATGTATGTATGTATGTATGTATGTATGTATGTATGTATGTATGTATGTATGTATGTATGTATGTATGTATGTATGTATGTATGTATGTATGTATGTATGTTCTGCTACGAGAGATCAAACAGATGACATATAATGTTCCTGCTCCCATTAACCAAGAATCACTCTTCCCGAGAATATCGTTGTTGTTATCGATCGTCTTCCTCGGAGTGATCATGACAGTGTTGTCGTTCTTCTTCTTCTTCTTCTTCTTGCTTCTTGTCTGATTCTCCTCGTCGCTCAGATGCATCAGCTGTTCAGCTGCCTCCATCTCCCTCTCCGTTGTCATCTCTCTCTCCCTCTCTCTCTCTCTCTCTCTCGTTTGTGTTCTTGTCTTTTGTTTATGTTATATATATGTTTTCGAGGTTACGTAATGAAAGCCATGGGAAATTGCTAGGTTGGTGCTACCAAGACCCTTTTGTCCATCTTCCTCTCTGCGATCTCACGAAATTGCATTACAGTCCCTCTAGTTTTACTCTTTTCACGTAACGATCTCATATTCTTAAAATCGAGTTTAATCCTCACGGCTCTAATGCAAGTTCTACGGTTCAGAATAATCAGTACTAAAATGTTATAATATTAGCTTTCCATCTTGAAGGTTATGGAAGACTTTCCAATAAATATTCATACTTGCGTCGATACATTTTGAATATATGAAATTAACTTATTGCGAGGAACCAAGAACAATAACAACAACTTGTTGCAAAAAAAAGTATTTGAGGAAGTGATAGATAAGAATTCAGGTTTTCAGAGCACTATTTTGTGCCAAAATATAATATTGAAAAACCTTTGGCCATTGATGTTATAAATGAAAATTTTAGGGTCGGTATTGTAATTTATACATGGAAGAAAGACTGAAGCTTGCAAAATGATCAAGTACGTCATGCCCTTCCATTGATGTAGGACTGTGAAAGATTCTCCGCCGTTAGATTATAAGAAAATATGGCTATTTGACTTTGTTGACCACAATCCAACGTTCAGAAACACCTTCTGCCTTTCTCCACCAATTCATAACTTAATATTTATCGTTAATTAGGGATGCAATTGTAATGTAATGTAATGCTTCATACTTGATCAAAGGTTTCATAAAACCAAAAGAAAAAACAATCTACGGAAAATACCAAAATGCCCTCCACGTGGACCCCGCATGGTTTGACCAGCTAGCTCTCTTGAAGCTAAACTAAACCCAAAATCAGAAAATGGAAATTAGTTCGTAAATCTTTATTTTCTATAATACACAAGTTTTTAAAATTATTACAAAATAAAGAAAAATTTAGAAACGAAAAAAGGGGGAAAGGAAAAACACAACCTTTTTCTTTTGCGTTGCCTTCTTTCTTGGAAACGCTCGATCATTTAGAGAAGTTGAAGAAGAAAATCATGTTTATAATTCGTTTAAAATCAAATGCCCATATATTATTATTCATCACCAAACCTATACATACATATATATATATATATATATATATGAAATCAAATCACAGAGATCTGAGGAGAAAGAAAATATTCAATGAAAGAATAAAATTTTCACCCATATCCCAAAAATAACACACCGTCCCTTCTTACTTTCTATATCTACAACACCTTTGCAAGAAGAAAGACCAAAAAACAAATATATCGTAACTCTGTCGGGGGCCAACCCAAAACCCTAATCTTTTCAAGGGTCTTTCTCCCCATAAATGAACACACACACACAGTAAAGAATCTTTCACCTGCGTCAGTTATCACAGTTGAGACCGCAGATTTCGAGGACAGGACCGTCTTTGGACACGAACGGGTTGACTCGGACCCAGAGAAGGGTGAGAATGGAGGCGAGGAGGATGGACCAGACAAGGATTATGGTCGGCATCCTGTCCTGTTTCCCCAGCAACCCTTTCAGGAACGGGTACAGATGGATGATGACCCACAGCGCAAAGAACAGCCTCCCGAACAGCGGGCCCCACGAGTCGTACCCATTGTTGATCGCGTCCGAGACCCCGACTATGACCCCGATGACGTTCACGATCAAGAGAGTGGTCGGAGGGATCAGAAGGGATGTCCACTTGAATATGTAAAGCTCTGAGAATTCACCGTCGTCCGCCGCCTTGGACGTGACCGTGAAATTCGTATTGACGCCGGCCAGAACCTTGAGGAGGCCCTGGAAGAGCGCGAAAAGATGGGACGAGACCCCTCCAATTACCCAAAACTGCTCGTTCCTCCACCAGTCATCGATCCCGACCTTCCCCCATTGCATCTCGAGAATTCCCGTCACTGCTATCGCCAAGAACAGGGCCATGAAGAGTATGCTAGCGTAGTTGCTGATCTGCAAAAACCATGATAACCCTTTTCGTTTGATTCAACCATCACGAGAAATACAGAAGAAAGGTTGAAACTTGTGTTTTTCTGACCTCTGGAACAATGAATTTTCCGGTGAGAAGGCAGATGGCCGGGAGAGAACAGTAGACGAGAAGAGGGATGGAGGTCCATGGATAGACGACAGAGTTTATGTACGATAACCTTTCCAGCCATTTCAACCCGCCCCCGTAACCATACCAGATAGGGCAATGCCTGCTCAAGAAAATCTCGACCGAGCCAAGCGCCCACCGAAGAACTTGATGGAGACGATCCGAAAGGTTGATGGGTGCTGATCCTTTGAAAGCCGGCCTTTTGGGGATGCAGTAAACAGATCTCCAGCCATGGCAATGCATCTTGAAACCCGTAAGTATATCCTCTGTAACAGAACCGTATATCCACCCGATCTACGATTTTTCACAAACCCGTGAAGTTAGAATCCGTTTGAATAGAAACACCCAAGGATAAACGAGAAAATCGGAGTGCTATCTACCTCTTTTCCCCACTCAGTTTTATCTTCGTAACCACAGCTAATGACTTGGATAGCTTCTCTAAGCAGAGACGCCGGGCTTGCATTCCTTGCCACCCCACCATTCTCCATAACGGTAGATTCAACAAAAACAGGAGACTGCCCGAACTTCTTCTCCAACTTCAACTGCATTGCCTCGGGCGATTTTTCTGCAATAGAACCTATATGACAAGGAAACGAAAATCAGCAAAGAACCGGTACACGAGAGAAATATTGAAAAAGAAATGATTTATATAACGAGTTTTTTCTACCTCGGGTGCCCTCTTCGATGTTTTCCAAGGCGTGAATCTGCTTCGAGGAGGCTTCCCTGTTCTTCTTTTTCTTATCTTTTGTATTTTTTTTCCGGTTCTTTCTCGATCCGCAGCAAAGGCAACACCACTTTGGCCAGCAATTGCATGTCTTCCCCGGCAGCTTCTTCTTCTTCGGGGCATCGTACCCGTAAAGAGCCTGCCTCCTGAAAACGCACCCTGTCCCGACATATATCGGACCTTGCAACCCATCCAATCCCTTCATATTGATCTGTTTGGATGATTTAAACCGAGACCACAGAATCAGTAAGAGCAAAGCACACAAGTTCAAGAACATAGATGATGAGAAGATATACATACATCAAAGAACACGACGTTTCGATTTGAGTATCGATCATGACGATCAATTCCATCGAATCTCTGAGGGAACTGAACGTAACAAATCTTCTTTCCCGACTGAGGATCCATCATGAAACACATTGCTTCTCTAAGAGCTTTGCTATTGTTGATGTAGTGATCACAATCGACGTTCAGCAGATAAGGAGCATTAGAGAGAACCCCCGAGACCCGTATCTTCGATTATCGCAAGAGCCAGAAAGAAAAAGAGAAAGTGCGCTAAGTCGGGAAACTTAATGACTGAAAAAAAAAACTCAGAGAACAAAAGCTTCGAGGTTTGAGCCAATTTACCAGAGAATTCATGGCTCCAGCTTTCTTATGGTGATCAAATCCCGGTCTCTTTTCACGAGAAACGTAAACCAGCGGAGGCAACTCGTTGTTTTCCACATCACGAGCACCATCTTGTCCGAGGAAGACCTTTACAGGAACATCAGAAAGATTCTGGTTAGTTTCATCCAGGTTCAGAACACAGAACTAGGTTTTGTCCAAAAACACGAAGCATCAGAAAACTCATTCTTCTCGGTCTTATGCACCCATGGCGGGAGAGAGAGAGACCAACCTGAATCATGCCGGGATGATCACGGACATTGTTACCAGGCCAAGGAGTACCATCTTGCATGGTCCAACCCTCCTCGGGCACCTTTTGAGCAGTAGCAACCAGCGAGTTTATCTTAACCTTGAACTCTTCATAATCTCTCTAAATCCATAACAAAAAATAAACACAACTTCGTAAAAAAAATGTCTGAAAGACATCGTCTTTTCGTCCTAAACCTTCATGAAAATCATTACCTTCATGGCACGACGTTCCCTGACAAACGACGGATGAACTTTATTCTTCAAATAATCCATCTTCTGATTAAAATACCACTCGGGGGCACGTGGCTCGATGCTGTATTTCTTACAGAAAGGAACCCATTTCCTTGCGAATTCCGCCGTCTCAGAAAGTGCTTCGAACGTAAGCATGGCTGCACCATCATCGGATACATAACACGCAACCTTGTCAACTGGATAATCAACCGCAAGTATAGACAGGACAGTGTTTGCTGTAATAAGAGGCGGCTCTTTCATCGGGTCCACTGTACTGACGAAAACGTCCACTGCAGCTAACTCCGATGGCTTCCCTTCTTTCTCATATCTGAAAATGTGAAGAACAGAAAATGAATCGAAACAGATGATTAAGGGAATTGATCAAGAAGAACCCATGAAAGGGCTTGGCTTTTGCATACCTTAACGAAAGCCGGTCCAAGTATGTTTCTCGCTCGATGGGGTACCATTTCGGGAACTGATCGAGAACCCATGAGACGGCGAACCATATTTCGCATATGACGGATATCAGCCACAAGGGATAAGCATCGTTAACAGGGTGAAGAATCCGGTAGTGAAAAAAGAGACCAAGAATCACAAGACGGACGATGATTAACATCCGATAAGGATTGATTCTGCTCGACTTGATGGGTAACTTCCTAGACAGAGGCTGCCTCCCTTCGTCCATCCTAATTTACACACACACAAGAAAACAAATTTTCAGCGGAAAATATCAAAAAGATTGACAAGAACAAGATACTCGAAAATCGTAAAAGTATAAAAAAAGGGATGCTTTCTTACATGGGAAAATCCTCATCACCGTCGCCTCCTTCGTGTTTAACCACTTGAAGTTTTTCATGCTGTTTTTTCTTCCACTCTTCCATCCGATCCTTCCATGCAACACTTCCATATCCATAAACAGCAATATCTTTCTGAGGTACCATAGGTCTTGGATGGGCTGTGACACCAAAAAAGAAAGAAACTTTAATCACTTATAAGAAGAAAAAACAAGGATTAGTTCGAAAACTATGCCAGAGATTCATAAAACTGACCAGCCACTGACGGGTCAGCGAGTGGCACTGGATGAACTTTCGTGCCATGCCCAAGTGATGGAGGAACGATAAGAGCATGTCTATCTGACGAGATATCGATGTCCTAAAAAAACAAAACATTATATAAACACCTGGCTAAAAAAACCGATAAACAAAAAAAAAAGGTGGAATGAAGAGAATATGAGATTACTTCATTGTCATAAGTTAACAAGGGAATCTGAGAGCCAGGAGGAGCAGAATCCAAATCAGATTGTGGAATCCCCGAGTTGCGCCGAGAAAAAAGCATACCTTCAGAAACTTGATCGGGGCCAACACCATTTCTGTAATCGAACTCGTTATCGAGATCATCTGTGTCATCTTCTTCCTCATCACCTTCGACCCGTGGACTTCCTGAAATAATTCCGAAGCAAAATCATCAACCTTTCATCCACTATAACGAACATTTCGGAGATTTAAAACCTCAGCAAATTCCCCATCCACATCATATGCCCGTATGAATTGACCAAATAAAAAGTTTCTTCTTTTAACTGGAAAATTCATCGGCCACCTTTAATGCGTTTGTATCGGGTTTTGCACTGTGGGCAGGCCTGGTTCCCCTCACGTCTCTCGTACTCATAGCACGGTCGACACACAGGGAAAGCGCATTCATTGCATGCCACAAAAGAATCTCCATCCACCGTTAGCTCGATCTCGTCGCCACAAATTTGACATATCTGCCCACTCAGTTCTTGCACCGATCGTATCTACATGAAGGAAGGAAACATCAGATCAGAAAAACGAATTGGCAAACCAAAAGATATAGATACCAATTTCACAAATAGATCCTTCTGGTCAGTTTGACAAAAGATTCAGACATTTAACAAAATCCAAAGACTTCTTAGTAAATTTTATCTAATCAAATCAAGGAGCATCAAATGGATCTGAAAAGATTCCACTTGAGTCTACAGATTGTAATGAAAGCTGAAAATTTAAGCAATTGACGCACAATCCACAGTTTCTGGAGAATTTGAAACTTCACCCTTTGAACAGACACAGCAGAGTAAAGCGTCAGAATGAACTAATCCGAGCAATCAGAATTAACATTTGCCAATTGTATCTTCCCCATTGCGATTGGAATCTTTCCCAGGGAGATGAGATTCGGGATAATCCCGTACACGCTTGAATGCGGAATTCAGACAGAAGTCAACCAGCGTACGGTTCCCACCGACACAAATAATTCACTGTACCCCAATCTAAGATTAGCTAAAGGTCTGAGGAAGCTTAGATTGTACGAAAACCCTAATCGATTTCTACGGGTCAAAACCCAGATCCAGAGAGACAAAAAGCCAAAACCTTTGCAGCTAAGCCGAGATCAGAAACATCGAAATGACGGAAATGGGTACACAGAAGAAGTGAGACAACAGGAAAATGGAAAACGGATTCTTACTCTGGCACTCTCATCTGCATTAATCAGGACGAACTCGTTCCTGTTGTGGGAACCGGCGACGAGCCGACCGCCGGTGTTCATATCTCCAACAAAGATGCTTGAAACCAGGATTCACAGATTCAATAGACGAAGCCAGAGATTGACTGGCGATTCTGCAACCGGGTCACCTCACCGACCCAACTCGGTTCCGAGAGATCCAGCTGTTCCAACTCCCATCACACAGGAACTAAACCCAGCAGCATGCAATCTCCAGCGTCAGAACCGAATCCGGTACAACGGATGTCGGATGACGTTATGAACGAAAGAATGCCTTTGATGCGGCTGCCAGGCAAATCGACTCTCTCTCTCCCCTCTTAACAGGCGCAGTTCACAGAAACGAAGGAAGGGAATTCGAGAGAGAGAGAGAGAAGACAATGGCAGAGAGGGGAAGCTGCGGATAATAAAGAGTGAAGAAAATGTAAAAGAGGCGTAAGGAAGAAGGCGAAAAGAGCGAGAGCGGCTGCGGACAGATATCAGTGAAATACTGAGATTTATTAAAACAACACAGACTTGAGAAAAACCCAGATTGTTTTCATAAAATCACATACAAAAATATTTAATAATTATAATCTCTAATAAAAAAAAAGATATTACATTTTCACGCAATGGAAATGGACTTCTCAAAAGCTTAATCAGCTCTTGTGTTGGGTGAATGCATTCAACCACCTTCCCTTGTCTGTAAATTATTTCTTCTTTTGTTTGTAATATTATTTTATTTTATAAATTATATAAATTATAAGTATACGCTTTTTCCCCGGATTTCACAAAATAATATCGAGACAGATGACAGCATAAGCGTTTGTTGTTCGGGCCGTTTCATGGTATTTTATAAATAATAGAAAATTAATTAAAGCAACAAAAAATGTAACTATTCGATTGGTGAATGCTTCGGTTTCCGGATTTCGGACTCGGGTCATCGGGCTTGATACGACCCGGTCTGACTTTAACCCTAAACAAATAAATTAATACACAGAAAATAAAAAGTTTCCAATATTTTCTAAATCAAAGTTATAATTATATTAAATTAATTGGAATCTATTTTTGAATATTACTAATAAAAAAATCCTATTTTTTTCTTTTTCTCTGAACTTTATTTTCGAAATCTAATTTCCAAAGAAGAAATTAGTTTCACTTAAATTGTTTTTTTTTTATCAAATTTATTCCCAAAGGGCCATTATTTCCATTTGTTTGTTTATACATATGCATCTATAAATATGTATATAGAAGAGACATATGCGCAATTATTGGGACTATCGGATTCGGATCACATCATACACATCATAAATATGTGTATATGTATACATTTGCCGACAGCTGATTTATAGAGATAATTTAGAAAAAAATTGCATGTCAATATTATTTTCTTCCGCCTTTAATTTAATGGGCTGCGGGCAGACGAATCGACAATAAATGATACTATAAGAATTGAATGGCGGTATACATAATAATAATAACATTAATAAATTATTTTCGCGCATACTTTTGTATAATTAAAATGAAAATTAAATACAACTTTAGTAGGTTACCATATCAAATGTCCTTTTCACGTCAGATTGGTAATGCGTGGACCGTCTTCTCCAAAGCCTTAGTGCCACATGTTCTCTTCCGAACTGTCGGTGCCTCGTTTTTTTTTGTATTTTATTTATTATTTTTATGTGAAAACAGTTAAAAAAAAATAAAGCCGCTGATATTTAGGATACACGTATAATATCCTAACTAACTAACTTATTTAATTTTTAGCCCAACATACTAATATCATTTGTGACGTAAGTTCGAGTTTATAAAACACTGAAATCATGAAGGCTATATGATATCAACCTCTGATTATGATCGACGCTAACTTACTGCAAATAATTTATTGCAGTATCGAATTATCCAATCTAAAATCATAGTGAAAAACTATATATTTGTCCTATTTTATATGATTGATTAAATTGTGTGTATTTACAACATAATCTATATCGACAGTATAAAAAAAATAAACACGTGAACCTTCAGTATAGTATGGTTTTAATGTGTGTTGACATTATTGATAGTATTTCCAAAATATATTGCACATGTTCGTTGCATGAGTTTGAAATTTTTTTTCAGCATTTACAAATTTTAATAGTATATAATTAAATACTTTTCTACGAAAATTCGATCAACTCAATCCGAAATATAATTTCAAACTCGAGATTTTATGTAAAGGAAGAAGTCCAAATCTATTGGTCGAATCGAAGTACATAATTTTTTAAAAAATTACTTTGCAAACACAATTTCATAAAGTGGTAATGATCAATCTGTACACGTGTTATGTAACTCAACGGGACGACCTTTTTGCTTGTAATTTATTACTTTGTTAAAAGTATGACATCTCATTTACTTTTTGTCTTTTTAGCATTTTTTAACATTTTATATTAAATGTGCCTTAATTTCCAAGTAAGAATATGATTATACCAAAATTACTCTCAGTGGTATTATTTTGAAAGAACAAAAATCTCCAAGATCCAAGTGCAAGTCAGTACGGAATATGGTAAAGATATTGAATATTTATAATCGTTTCCATATTAATTGACAAAATAATGATTGGATAAAGCGTCGTTTTTCCAATCGAACGAAATAACGTATGTATAAAGAAATAAAAAAAATTTAATTCTAATAAAAATCTACATATATACCGATAAAAATATCCGATTCGTGTAATATTCATCAACATACATTAATCATTTTCGGTTGTTAATACAAATTTTATGTGTGGTTACAAAAGTCTAACATCAGCCAAAGAAAATGAAAATACGAGCCAAAATGTAAAACAGCTGGCGCTGTGACTGCTTTGGTCGAAAACGACGAACACAGGAGAAAGTCTCTCCGAATTCGGGCAGCGGTCAGTGTGGACCAAAGCCTGCCCGACATATATTTGTTTTGGGCTAATTTGCCAGCTCAGCGCCAGTTTATCGACCGCGAGTATGATTCTCTTTCTATACTCGTGTTCCTACTGGTTTGTTTTGTTCGTAAGATCCTACTCATAGTTCACGAAACACTTCCATGTATCGGCTCGGGTCCCCGGATTGCCGGATCTCGACCCATCTTGTCGGGTTCCGACAGGTTGATTTTTTTCCTGGAAAAAAAAGGTACGGGCAAAATTAATGAAAACAATAAATAAATACGAATCAAGAAAGGAAACACGCGCCGATGGTAACTGGTGAACGATAATATCCAACGGTGAGAATATTAACAAATATTCGATTTCTAATGAATATTAATTCTCTTTTTTTATGCGGCAACTTACGTGTAAATAGAGAATATTATCGTGGTCTGTCTTTCAGTGGAATAAAATTTTCTCACTATTTTATAAAATAAATCTATACATGGGTTTTATACACCGAAAGAATAACAAATTTGTAACAGATTTCTAACAAATTTACAAAGAATGAAAAAGCATGGAGAAATCTGTTCGAACAGATTTCCTTCTTCACCTCTCGCCGTTCTCTCCTTCCCAAGCCAATCTGTTACTCATATTAATCAGATGGGCTTCTCATGGGCTTCGCACCAGGCCTTCTTCTTGTTATAGGCCCGCATATTATATCCGTAATACGCCCCCCTCAAGTCACGGACGGGAGAAAGAGACTTGACACGTTGAGCTTCTGCAAGAGAGCAGAAAACAACGCAGGCTGCATTTGTTTCGTGAAGAGATCAGCAAGCTGATGTTGAGAGGAGACATGAAGCATCCGCAGAAAACCAGACTTCAATTTTTCGCGCACAAGATGACAATCAATGTCAATGTGCTTAGTACGCGCCCCCCTCAAGTCACGGACGGGAGAAAGAGACTTGACACGTTGAGCTTCTGCAAGAGAGCAGAAAACAACGCAGGCTGCATTTGTTTCGTGAAGAGATCAGCAAGCTGATGTTGAGAGGAGACATGAAGCATCCGCAGAAAACCAGACTTCAATTTTTCGCGCACAAGATGACAATCAATGTCAATGTGCTTAGTACGCTCATGAAAAACCGGATTTGAAGCGATATGAATAGCTGATTTATTATCACAGAATAAAACAGCAGAACAAGAAACCTGGATGTGCAAATCATCCAGCAGATGTTGCAACCAAATCAGCTCGCAAGTAACATTTGCCAAGGATCTGTACTCGGCCTCTGTGCTGCTCCGAGATACAGTCGACTGCTTCTTTGCCTTCCAAGAGATTAAAGAATCTCCGAGGAAAACGCAGAAGCCAGAGGTCGAGCGGCGAGAGTCCGGGCAAGATGCCCAATCCGCATCTGCAAATGCTTTCAGACAAACCGCCGAATCAACTGAATAGAAAAGACCTTGGCCAGGATTACCTTTCAGATATCGGACGACCCGCTGGGCAGCCTTGAGATGAACAGAAGTTGGGCAGGATAAATATTGACTCAGCTTGTGTACAGCAAAAGAAATATCTGGCCGGGTGATAGTCAAATACAACAATCGTCCAATGAGCCTGCGATAACCCGTAATGTCAGATAACGGTTCTCCGGTGTCTTTACACAAGCGTGTATTGGGATCCAAAGGTGTTGAGGCTGGCTTAGAACCAAGCAATCCAGCATCCTCAATTAGTTCCAGACAATATTTTCGTTGCCCAACAGAGATACCTTGACTAGAGCGAGCAATTTCTAAACCCAGAAAAAACTGCAATTTTCCAAGGTCTTTGATATGAAATTGCTGATGAAGCAAGGATTTAAGGGTCTGAATACCAGCAGCATCATCTCCAGTGATTATGATATCGTCTACATAAACCAGTAAAGCAACGAACAGACCTCCAGAAGAACGGACAAAAAGTGTATGATCGGCCTCAGATTGTACGAAACCGGCGGCAAACAACACTTTAGCAAAGGTGAGATACCATTGCCTTGAAGCCTGTCGTAAACCGTAAAGAGATTTATGTAAACGACATACCGGATTCGGAGGCAAAGACGTCCCGGGAGCAGGAGTAAACCCAGGAGGCAAGGACATGTAAATTTCTTCATCCAGTGTGCCATGAAGGAATGCGTTCGTCACATCTAACTGATACAGAGGCCAAGTCCTTATAGCTGCAAGGGCAAGAATGAGTTTAACCGTGACGAGCTTCGCAACCGGGGAAAAAGTGTCAAGGAAGTCCACGCCCTCCTGCTGTGTGAAACCCTTGGCCACCAATCTCGCTTTGAATCGATCAACAGAGCCATCCGACTTGTGTTTAATACGGTATACCCAGCGACATCCAATGGTTCGCTTTCCAGGGGGTAAGGAAACAACAGACCATGTCCCGTTTTCTGCTAAAGCGTTGAGCTCGGTGTCCATAGCTTGCCGCCAAGTTACATCAGTTACAGCCTCCTTAAAGGATTTTGGTTCGGAAGAGAGGGTAGAATTAAGGACAAAAGATCGATATGGATCTGAGAGGCGAGAATAAGATAAGACTGAAGAAATTGGATAGAAAGAGGTGGAAGGATGAGAAGAAGAGCCTTTGGACAAGAGAAAAC